GCCCCTCTGCCTCATTTCATAGAGTTTAAGGTCGGAAGGGATCATGAAGTCTGACCTCCTGCAATCACAAGCCATTCAGTTTCACCCGGATACCCTTATATTGAGCCCAATAACGTGCATTAGACTGAACAGTTGCGTGCCACAAATAGAGAACAGGAGAGATCAAGGTACCACCAAGATGCTCTGATGTGCGGTCCCATGAAAGTGGACACGTCTAGCTGCTCTGCAGAGTTCAATGATTCCTTTTGCCTGGCAATCCTTAGCATAAAGCATTTCCCCCTGTAATGACTGGCTTGGGGGAACGGCTGAAACAGCAAATCCAAAGCGGATCCGTATTAGCTTCCATTTGAAACACACTTATTTGGAATTAGTCGGGATTAGTTCCCCAGAACATTTCCTCAGCCCAATTAGTGGTGAAACAAACCACTCTCTGAGCAGCGTTATAAAACATAGGGGTTTGATGGTATCAGGAGCAGGGCCATTTTTGATAAGGAGCTGCAGAAACCTAGTGATAGTAACATGTGAAGGCTCTTGTAAGCCTTTCATTATCCCTGGCAAAGAAAAAGGGACCGGTCTCTCAAAGACTCGAAACCCTCCCTTTGCTTCTCTCTCTCTGTTGCTTGTATTATTTAATTTCACCTTCACTCAACATGCTGAAAGAAAATGAAATCTCCTCTGTGTTAGCATCAGTCTCTCTTTAGATAAATATGTGTCTGCCAAAATCAGTGCATTACATTCCGGGGTGCTTTTCCTTTCCAAATGGGCAGCTTTTGTGTGTCATCATTCACTCTGCTGTAATAGACGGAAAGCACTCAGAAGTACTGCCTGAGCATTCTTTGGCGCCAGATCCTGTAGTTCTAAACAAAGCCAGTGGGAGTATTGATGGAAAAAGGACTTCAGGCACTGGCCCCTAACTGGGAAGGCATGACCAGAGCTGCCTCTTCATTCATTAGTGGATAATGAGGCTTTGTTTCGGTAGGCCTGAAAAAGATATTTACCCAAGGAAACACGTCTGGAATCTTTTGTATTGCGTGCTGATCGAAGTTTTAGTGAACATACCGTGTTTTCACTGCCAGTGGGTTACTCTTGGGTATAGCTCAGACAGGGACCCTAGTGAGATGGCAGATCTATTTACCTTCCATAACAATATGCTGTCCATAAAGTAATCTGTTGCCAGTGGCTTAGAATTCTGCCTAGTCTTGTTTAGCTACTGATGGCGTCAAAGCATGCAGCAATTGTAACTGATTCACATTTTACATCCCTAGTGCCTGGTATGCATATCGTGTTGCAGTACATTCAGGAGACTGGTCCCTAAAGTGTCCCCTCTTTCTAAGGAACTTACCATACGACCCTATTTTTAACACGAAGGAACAACGTGATGGGCTGTCAGTGGTTGGACCCAGACAGCAGGGACATCACTGTTCTCGTGACCACCACTAACTTGGTGCTGTCAGTAAAGCCAGGTAGGTCTGATTAGCTGGGCTGTGAAAGGGTTTGTGTCCCTTTCTAGGGGGAAAGAGGAACTAAGGGGAGAGACAATAGGTCTTGCGGGGGAAACCCTTAGAAATCTCAAGATCTCCTTTACATTCAATTATTCTTAAACGGAGACTAAGAAAACGCCGGGATGGGATAAGTTTTTGCCCACACCACTAGTTTGTGTGTGTGCCGTGTTGAGGGTGGGGTTGGGACTCTGGCTGTTCATATTTGGTACCAGCAGTGGGATTTCCAGATACCCCTCTGCCCAAAGAGGGAAAATGGAAGGAATCTCAAAATGGCTGGTGGAATAGCAGCCATGTACTAAAACTGGGCAGTTTTTCAGTTCACCGCCTGGTATGACTATATTATATTTAAGGGCATCGTTCTCTCAGAGTTACACTGTGGATCTCACAATGCAGATGCTTAAGAAAAAATTCTCCATGATTATTAATCGACAGCCTTGGCCACTACTGTTTGGCTGTCTGTACAGAGTTAGCTTTCAGATCCTTTAAAATCTTTGCTGAGAAGGTTGGGTTGCGTATGTGTTTGAGACCCCCTCTGCTTTTATCTGTTACTTTAAACTATGTTTTCATTTTCTTTTGAGACTTCTCTTCATCTGAGCTGCCTGTAATTATCTGGCCAACGATAACCACAAGCAAGCTTGGGAAAATCAGGGCCCAGGTGATAAAAACTCCATATATTCATTTGTCTTAAATTAGCAAAACAAGAAAAAAGAAATGTCCGTAGGAAAAAGGATCTTGTTTTCCACTTGGAAGTTTTCTATTCAAACATAATTTCTAACACACACAAAAAACGTGGCTTGAGATTGGCACGCAGGTGTGGGAGCCCAGGGAGCACCAACTACTATCAGAAATTTTGTAAAATTACCTAAATGTAATAGAAAAAAGTAAACCTGGACATTAGGGTAACTTGATGTTCTTCCATGTCACTGCCAATAAGCCCCAATCCTGAACTGGAGAGATCAACCCTCAGGGCCAGCGGGAAATTCCTCCTCTACAAACTAATCCATTTAAACCTTGGCCTCTGCACTGAGATTATCAACCAAGGAGTCTGAGCATAGTGAACACATCTGCCCACTGGGAACGGCACTACAACCAACCAACTCCTTTCAGATAAACAACTCTGCAGCTGTTGGATAATAACTTTTAGTGAAAACTCAACAGGGCTGGAATTAAAGCAGCAACCTAGAGGTGAAAATCTCCATATCTCATTGATAGTTCCCTGAGCTAGCCAGCCTTCCCTGATGTGATTCTTGTGTCACTGGTTTCGAGGTGTGGGTAAGGTGACTATTTCCCAGTCTCTTTGGATGACTGAATTTCCTTTGGATTGTTTATTATAGAAATAAGTTTTCTCCCTGGAATTGTGATGGGTCAGATTCCTATGAAGCGTATCGAGTTAACCTAAATACAAACATGACAGAACCAGATGTACTGTGCATGGCCACCCGTATACACAAAGGCCAGAGAAGGGCTGGATTTTGGCATTTTCCTTAACAGGGAGGCAGGAGTCTTATCTCACAGCATTGCCAAAGTTGCTGCTGGTTCCATATTTCAGCAATGCTAGCGCTGCCGCCGTAGGACCTACTTCTCAGCAGAAAAGCTCAAGGGGCCTGTGGGCAGAAGGGTCTGAGCTTCCCAGCTGTCCAAACATAGTGATCCATGGGATGAATAAAAGCCAGTGAGCAGCAGCTTGCAGGGAGACGTGTTTAGAATGACAAGGTGTTTGTTTGTTTTGCTTCTCATCTCATCTAGCCATTTGCTGACCGTGACCTCGAGGATGGCATTTGTGTATTCAAAGAAACATATCATCAGACATGCCTAGGCAATTCCGTCCTACCCGGTCCAGCAGTGCTGTGTGGATTGATAGGCCACGCACGCACCTATTGACTGGAACGGAACACTATCAGTTCCCATTTGGTGGCTTATTCCAGATTGCATGTGTTTTGCAAGGGGGTCATTTCCTCCCCCCCTTAATCCTTTTTTTGATGTTTGTGTTTGAGAAAGAAAAACCAAACAAAACACAAAATCTTCTTAGAGGTCCCTTTGATTTTATTTGATAGTGGGGTTTGCAAAAGCAAAACCAATCTGAGTCCCCGATTAAAGATCTGGCTCAAAACCAGTTCCGCACAGATAACTCTCATCAAAGGACCATTCCCTAGCTGGGAGCTGCTCAGCTGACAGAGATGAATGTTGACTGAGTCTTTGCATTCCTTGCAGTATCTCCCAGGAGATCAGAGAGCCTCAAACTCTTCAAGGAAAACATAGGGGGGCTACTGTGATTCACACCAGCAGAGGATCTGGCGCATTAACTTTCCCTATGTTTATATTGCTATACTCTTGCTAAACGGATTTGTAAATATGTTTTAATACTCATTTAAAATAACACAACATCATGCTGCATGTGACACACAGAAGAGTTATTTTGTAAAGCCAGAGTCTCTCAGGTAGGGTGACCAGATGTCCCGATTTTATAGGGACAGTCCCGATTTTTGGGACTTTTTCTTATATAGGCTCCTATTACCCTCCACCTCCTGCCCCCATTTTTCACACTTGCTGTCTGGTCACCTTACTCTCAGGAATAGAGCTGAAGGAATAATTCATTTTCCAGTTTGGGTGCCGAACCAAAAAATCCAGGAAAAAAATCAGTTCAGTTTGAACCAAAACTGAATTTTTTCAATTTTTCTTGCCGAAATGAACCCAATGAAAAATGTTTGCTTGGGGTCAAAAGACACATTTTGTTCGATTCAAACAATTTTTTTTCTGTTTTTAGTGTTGTTTTAGGTGAGTGTTGGGTGTTTTTTAACCTTTTGTTTGTTTGTTTTCAATTCACTACATTTCTAAATGAAATGCTGCTTTAAAATGCAGAGTCCGAAAATTGTTTTTTGAAATGACTGAAATGAACCATTTCAACTTTTTTTCCAATATTTTCCCCATTTATTTTTTTTGGCTGAAACTATTCACCAAATTCAACTTGAATTTGAGAATAGTTTTGGCGCCCTGAAAAATGTTGGTGAATTAACTATTTGCCTAAAGATTTTCACTCAGCTCTACTGAGGAGTCGCTACTAACTGTCTCGTGCCCTGAAGGTATGATCAACCAATAAGGATTTGTTGTAATGATAAGCAATGCATTTATTGGATGAGAGTGTTGTCACTTGGCTATCGCTGGCTGAGTCACTCCTTCTGCAGCCTGGGGAAAGGTGGGTGGTCTGCTCCTAGAGAAAGTTCCTGTGACAGATATGATGAACACAGGTATATCTTTGTGACTATTGTATCAACATTGTAAATGTTATCTGCATTTTTCTGAGATGGACCTTGGAACCTGAAAACATCAAAGATGATTATATTGAGATGTGCCAGATGATGTGGGCCCTTAGAACATTCGGAGATCTTTGTATCATTATGTGTTACATGTATTTTGTGCTCCTGGGTGTTGGGTGAGTTTTCTGTGGTATCTGGAATCACTAAAAATTATTAATGCAAAGTCCCACTGCTGGTTATGCAGATACCTGGCCTTTGACTCAGCATGGATGACTGGAAGGCCCTCATTTTGATCTATCAAATGGACAAGAATCTTTGGCCAACCCTGCTGAAGAGTTTGAAGGACAGGATCCTGCCAGATTCTCCAAAGGAAAGATGTGGTACCTCTGGTAAGCTTAAGTGTGCATTTAGATCTTTGATTGTTTTATATGATGTTTTCTCTGTAATGCTTTTGTTCTAAAATACATTTACTGTGCTCTATGTAAGGCTGCCTGGTCTCTGGTAAACCACAGTCTTAGTCCCTGTGAGAGACTGGAACTGCAGGCTCTTAGCTAAGGTCAGACCTGCTGGGCTAATCACAGTGAATGACAGGGGGCTGCAGCCAAAACCTGGTTGGGGGGAGAGGGACTGCCAAGAGAGTATGGTAGGCCTGTGACCTAAGGGGTCATCCTTTGAGCAGACCACGGAGTGGGTCGGAGATTCAGTTACCCCAATACTGTTGACAGCCTCCTCCTTTCTTGTTGAGCTGATGACATCCTAGTTGAATGTTTGTGCCACGGGCAATTCAAAAATTCCTTTTCCCCGGACCCAATGTCAGATCTTGTACTTGGCATAGGAGCTCAGAGAGTCATAGAGTTTAAGGCCAGAAGGGACCACCAAAATATCTAGTTGAGACTCTTGTACATCACAGGTCACTGACACACCCAACACCCCATGCTAAACCCAGCAACTGAAATTAGACCAAAATGCTACCGCCCATAGGAAACCAAACTATTATGTGCCACAGGCAGAGAATAGGAGGAACTGAGGTGCCCCACTGCCCGAGGTCCCTGAAATGATAGGGAGTTAATTATGTGAGGTGTATCCAGCTGATCCCAGCAAGTGACCCTCACTCTGTGCTACAGAGGAAATTCAATGTTGCAATAACAATAAAAATCCTTTTCTATTATCTAGGACCTTGTACAACTGTCAGTGAAACCTCACAATACCCCCGAGGAGCAGGGAAGTATTTCCTATCTGGATATTACAGACTGGGAAAGCCAGCTGCAGAGCGGGTAAGTGACCTTCCCCAGGTCACTGATTCAATGGCAGAGTCGGGCGTAGAACACAAGGCTTAAACCATCTCTCCGTGTACAGGTGCACAAGCAGGCAATTTCTGGGGAATTCATTTTAATTAACTTCCCAAGTTAAACACAATTGCAGTGTAGCTTGACAATAACGCTCTCCATTTATCGTCTCTCAATAGGCACATGCAAGAAATTCAATAAAGAGTTTTTAGCCATGGCCCTGAAATACTAGAGAGCGGAGGGAGGCTTTTACGGCTATCCCTCCATCAGCTTGGAACGTCAAGAGGCTTTTAATGGACTGAGCACTACTTTTTAAAGGGACTTTAAGAATAAAAGAAGAGCTTTTATTGGAATAGACTGTGATTGCCGCGCTGACTTTCTCCGGTCCGCTTGCAGAGTAAAAGATCCAACATGGGGCTTTAATTTTTATGCAACCCCATCCTTTAGGCGAACAGCAGTAACCAAAATGGCAGAGTGCTCTTCAGCTGCTGGCAGTTGTGCCCTGGATCTGAGTGCCAGCGGTGCCGTGAATGCTGATGTATGGAAACTGGAGGAAAACATATAACCCCCCGGCAGAAGAAAATATTCCCACCCCCCACACAGAGCGACATTGCATAGGGGCCAGGGAAACACACCGGGGTGTTCTACGGCACCTGGCTGGAAACACATTCCATGGGAAACAAAACGAGAGAAGAGCCCTCAACCGACCCAGATCATAGGGTTGGTGGTGGATCCATTAATAGTCAGCCAGGAGGTTCTGGGACGGTTAGCTGGACCATTACAGTGAGTTGCCTATAAGATTTTCTTCTCATGATGCCAACAAACACATCAAAAGCAGAACAGTTGACTTGGGGTTTAAGACTTGGAGGATCGGTCCCTCAATGGCCATTAGCCAAGAGAGTCAGGGATGCAACCCAGGCTCTGACTACCCCATAATCTCTGACTGCCAGAAGCTGGCAGTTGTCAGTTTGGCATTTACCCTGTTCTGGTCATTCCCTGTAAACATCTGACACTGGCCACTGTCAGAGACAGGGTACTGGGCTAGACGGACCATTGCTCTGATCCAGTTTGGCTGTTCTTATCTTATGATATGGCTCAAAACTGCAGGCAGCAGGGGCCTGATCAGTGAAAAGACTCTCCTGGACTGGAATGGGAGTTGGATTGCGCTGCGCATAAAGAGCTTTGCCAGAGTGGCCCAGAGTGGCCTTGTCTAGACTCGGATTTAGGGGGTGACGCTAACGAAAGCTAGCACATTCCGAAAGGTGAGTGCGGACAAGGCACACTGCCTTTAACGTGTGCTGCACTGAGTGGGAGCCGAGCCTCCTTACAAGGCATTAACTCATGCACAAGCCTTGCACAAACGAAGGTGTCTGCATTCCAGTGGATGTTATATGGGGACATATCCACTGTGCCGTGTACTGGAAAGCATGAAAGGAACATGCATCTGGTGTCTGTATGTACAGTCCTTTCATCCTACTGCTGCTTACCCCAAACTCCTCCTTACTCAAATTGGGGGTTCCAATTCCCACCGATTGCCTTGTCCTCTCCCCCCACCACCGATCGTCCCCAACAAAGATCTTCCCCATTTATCTGTGTTAGAAGTTCCTGAAACTTTTCACGCAAACAGGGTTGAACAGTATCACAAATGCAATATTTATAAGCATGCCTAAAAATGTGCAGTGTGCATAATGGGTCAGGATTGATCTACTATGTTAGCTCAGGAAACACCTACTGCAGAGAGAGACAAAAACAACAAGAACGAAAAGTCACACTGCACTCAGATAAAACAGGTCAGGAGGATCCCAAAGGACTGCCTGGGGAAAACAATCCTCTCCAGAAATTAAAAAGTCTTTCAGCTGAAATATTAGTAGCTCTCCCTGAGACAGTGGCACATTACCTTCAGAGGATGAAATGCACCCAGCAGGCTAGCTGAATATTAAGCCCAAAGCCAAACGAATACATGTTTTAATGAGTAACCTTGAGACAGGCGAACCGATCTTGCTGAAATATAGGACTTTAGAAGAGAGCACAGAAATATGTGAGTTACTACTGCTTGAGATTCAATTACTCATAAAGGAGCCAAATCTGAAGTTAACGAGGGGGAAAAAAGTCAGGGTGGCAGATTTTAAACCTGTAACACCCTTGGGGATGCAGGGTGGTTAGCACAAGGAGTCAGGGCTCTGGCTTTTTGCTGGTTGAGTCCTAGGTTCAAAGATGACTCATGGCCACACGTAAAAGTCATCCTGGTCATCTCCATCTCTCTTTGAGTGCATTAAAAGTGCACTGCATAATTCAGGAACTGGTGTTCTCTTCGGTGGAGAGGGCTGGGACTGGGATACAAGGTGGTGCCAGATCAGGGCTGAAAGGCTAAGGCTGAGTGGTTTGTTGAGCTTCAGCACACCTGCTGGGCTCTACCTTGGTCTAGGGACGTGCTGTGGAATGGGTCCCTCACGTCCACGGGTGCTAAGGCCACCACAATTGGTGTCTCAAACTAGTATGCTGTGTAACATGCTTGTACAGCGTGTCTTGTCTCTCTCTAGTTACTGATCCATGGAGGATAATAGCCTACTACTTCTAGCACCGAATGGAGTTACTTTTTTATATCGAGTGATAGAAGTGTTGAAGGTCCTTGGTTCACGCCGAGGCATTGGGAGCCAGCATACCGATGCAGGGGTGTAGCGGGGCGGTCACACGCTCCTGCCTTGAAGGGCTTGAAGCAGCGAGCCTCAGCTGATTGGGGAAACAGCCACAGCTGGGGCCACGCCCCTATCAGACCATAGCTGGCCTTATAAAGCTCTCGCTCTTGAGGGAGAAGGGCCTGGCTGCCTAGAAGCTGAGGAAGGTACCTAGAGTGGCGCAGGGCTGGGGAGCTCCAGCCTGGAGAACCCCCAGGCTGCAGGCCTTGATAAAGGCCAGGACAGGTACTGGGGGTAGCGTGGGGTAGACAAAGGCAGCCGGTCCAAACCCCCCTTTGCCAGTGATGAATAGTGTGTACTCTGCAGTCTGCTCCAGTGGGTGGGGGCTAGATGGTGACTGGCAGTAGCCATATACTGAGGTGAGGTGGGATAGGGGGTTCACTGGGGAAGGGAGACCCAGATCTGTGGGGGTACTGCCAGGGGGCAGCCTCAACGTAAAGGGGCACTGGGGTCCAGGAGGGACACAGGGCCTGCGGTAAGTGGGACTCCCGCCTGCAGAGGGCGCTCCAAAGGCTGGAAAAGCTAATTCCCAGGACGACAGCAGGAGGCGCCGTGCCGGTGAGTCGCCACATCGCTACAAGGGGTCTGGTTTAAAATGCATTTCTTTGCAAGGCAAGCAGAGAGAACACCAGGGAACTCAATCAGAGTTGGCTGGAGTTCTAGGCTCTGCAGGGACGTCTCCTCTTGCACAGGCATTAGCACTTGTAGCACCCCCGTGCAGCCCTTCTAGGCTCTGATGCCCTGTGGCAGTGGCACAAGTGTAGCAGTGACCTCCCAAAGCCCCTCAGCACAGCACGGCTAATTCTATCAATGCAGCAAACACTGTCTGGAGCTCATTTGGCAGGTGTGCTGCATGGCTCGTAAAACACTAGCGCGCTCAGCTCCTGAAAGGGCATGTGGCACATGTCTAATATGCGCCTTTCGTTAATCGCCGCGTCTGTAACGTTCCTCAGCCATTCTTGTAATGTTTGCAGAATTGTTATGGAATTATGGACGACCTTTCAAACATGGCTTTGTAAATACTTTCCCCCAGGCCTTTGCAGTAGGTTAAATGCATCCAGTCAAGAAGCAATGCAAAGAGGCAGAGATAGGATCAGTATTTTACTGCACCCAGTGTAGAATCGAAGCGGTGGGAAATGGGGGCTGTGGGGATGTGGGATTTGGCCTTGAGGGAGGGGAGAAATCATGATGCTGAGCCCCTCGTCAGAGAGATGGGAGCCTGCTGGGAGAAAAAAACCCGATCTTGGGTTGCAGGAGGACAAACCCACTGAATGCAGGGAGGGGAGAGGTTGGAACTCACTGCTGTGCATGTTTATTACAGTGCTATTAATACTCATTTTATAGAAGAGTGTGTTTTATTGCTGGCTTCTGGAGCAGCAATAAACATTTCCAGCAATACCGAATTGTATTGCTTGCTCTCAAGAGCTCTCCACTGCACAGCGCAGCCCTGTGTTCCAGTTGGAGAGTGGACAGCTGCTCTGCCTTGCTTTTCAGAAACGGAGCGGAAAAGCGCTCCAGCTGTCTCCTCCTGGCTTAGCGGAGTTTGGAGAGTCCTCCAAATGTTTGGTTCTGTTCCACTTCTCCTTGTTAGGTTTGGGCGGCTGCAGAGAGGAGCAGCTTTCCAGCAGGGAAATAACAATCCTCTTGTTGAGGTGAACAAGCTCACTCCTCCCCTCCCACCTAAATGTAAAGTGATTTTTTGAGAGCAGATTGTAGACGACTGCCTTCCTGCGGAGAAGCTCTTCTCTTTCGCTGACTCCCACCAAGGCGTTCAACTGTTTTCAACCTTGGGATTATGCCATTGGGCTTTCAATTCCACAGTTTATGCAGCCAGGTTACCCAGTGCAGTGGGACAGCCGTCTGACGCTCAGCCCGTCCCTTTGCAATGGCTCAGTTCAATATTAGCTCTGGTTTCTCGCCACAAAATCCCACTGCAAAATGCCATTGAAACCGGTATGGCTACTTAGTAGTAGCAGTAGTTAATATTAGTAGTAGTATTTATTTCTATTACCCTCCTGCCCAGGAGGCCCAGTCCTGGAGCAGGACCCCAGCGTGCTAGGCACTGTGTAAACACAGAACAAAAAGAAGGCCCAGAACCCAAAGAGCATCGGAGCTGTGATTGCAGCTTAGGCAGGCCACCCGCTCGAGCTTTAATCCAGCTAACACAGCTAAACACGGCCGTGAAGATGTGGCAGTACATACTCGGGCGGGCTCCAGGCGGGCTTGTACAGCTCACGCCAGCGTCCATGCTACTGCGTCTTCAGTCTCCTTTGCTCATCTCTGGTTTTAGAT